ATCTTTTCTGCTGTTCCCACAACTCTTCTCAGTCTGTGGCTCTGCAGCCTCCACACCACGCAGTGAGACAGCTGGTCAGAATGCTTTCTATAGTGCTACTGCTGAATTTTTCTCCCTAGTAAGCGTGCATTCCTTCATTTGTGCATTCAGCAGCCATGCTTTGGGATTACAAGACCTACATGCATTGCCGTTCCCTCCATTTGTAATCCATCAGTGTTTTGTTTGATTTGTTAATATATCTCTTTTTTGGTCAAACAGAGACTTGTGTAACATTTGGTTTCAATGCATCATGGAGGAAAATAAAGCAATATTAGTTTAAAAAAAATATGCCTAAAAAAGTGAATCAGTGAAACTGTTGCAAAAAACAAAAAAAATCTATATCAGCTGTTAAAAAAGGCCAGAACCAGTCATTTACTGAAAGTAGTAAAGGTTACGTAAAACTGCAGCTATTTTAAGCTGTTTTGATGCTTACATGCTGAGTTGCTACTAATCTAAAGGGGGAATGATTTCACTTTTTAGGAACAAGTAGAAAGTGAGCCTTAAAAACATAGGACACACTGTATCAGATCTTAAGCAGGGTGGTAGTAGCTTAATGGTGTGAGAACACCCGGCTGTCCCTGGTAATGGTGTTTTGCAGAAGATGGTTTGAAAGTACTGCAGTTGTTTGGAACAGACACATTTTAAGAAAAGTTTGTTTCAACAAGTAAAGAATCAAACTTCGGTAATGTATGTAAAATTCTGAGCTGATTAGTTTGGCTTGATTAAAAAATCTATAAAACAGATATTAAATGAACATTAATTTATTTAATTTATAGAATCAAATAATGTTCCTACATATGAGACCTAATAAAACCCAATAATTAATCCTTAGACTCTGGTAAGTCAACACTTACTGTTCCATTTCAGTGCACCACAGGTAGTCCTCCTTGCCATTCATGGAGACAGGCAGTGGTCCCATCTTCCCTTGCCTTATAGAGTTGGACTTTGTTGTGATTGTGCGGACCTTATCAAACTGCAGGAAGAGAAGAAACATACAAAATCCCACACTGCAACCTCATCTTTGTGAATGCAGTTCAACCAAACGTGTCCCTTTATGTTAAGCATCCCATTGAGAGCAGCCGGCTGCCACCTTACAGCGCCCTGGGAGCATTGTGGGTCCAAGGATCTAGCTCAGGAAGCCAGAGAGGCATTATGTAAATAACAAACTGGACTGGACTCATAACACCGACATCCTGTTCCTTTATATCTCTTCTTCTTTCTGTATGTCTGCTTCTGTCTCCTTGAGCCCTAGTCGGTCTCGCCGCTCACACTGAGCCTGGTTCTGCTTGAGGTTTCTTCCTGTTAAAATGGAGGTTTTCCTCTCCACTGTCGCTATAAGCATGCTTGGTGTGAGGGATTGACTTTGAGTCAATGAGTCGCTGAAATCAACTGGTTTTCCTTAGATAGAAAACTTTGAATCAATTTGACTGGATGATCTGGTGGAATTGTATCTGTGAAGTGCCTAGAGATGACATGTGTTGTGAATTGGTGCTATATAAATAAGCTGAATTGAACTGTATAAGAAGGGCCAGAGCTGCATCAACCTCCTGAGGAGGCTGAGATCCTTTGGAGTGAGCAGGCCCTGCTTACAACCTTCTATGACTCTGTGGTGGCATCAGCTCTCCTCTACACTGTTGCCTGCTGGGCCCCTGGCAGCTCAGAGCGGGACAGAAAGACACTAAACAAACTGTTGCTAAAGGCTGTTTCTGTCCTCGGCTGCGCTCTGGACTCAGTGGAGAAGGTGGCTGAGAGGAGGATGCTGTCCAAGCACACATCCATCATGGACAACACCTTTCACACTCTGCACCAGACTGTAGAGGAGCTGAGCAGCTCCTTTGGTGAAGACTTTTATACCCTGTTTGTAAAAAGGAGAACTACCACAGGTCATTTCCTACTGCAACCAGACTCTACAATGCCACACTAAAATGTCAATAACTTTTGCAATGTATAATGTGCAATTGCTATTTAATACCCTGTGCAATAACCTGTTTCTTTATATTTGATACCCAGTGCAATAACTTTATATATAAATATAAATATCCATCTATATAAATACGCATGTAAACACCCTGAGCAATAACCCAGTATAAGAATCCTGCTATAAAAAATAAAGCTATCATATGTGGACGCACAGACTATACTGTATTTATCCCATGCACCTTTTTTTTCCTTTGGCATGTTCTTCTCATTTGACTATTTGTATAGTATAAAATAAATAAAGTTAACAAGGCCAATCAATCAATGTGGGGCTGGACTGGGCCTCCACTCCCCACACTATAAAAAAAAAACAGAATATCCTGATCATATCAAATATATAACAAAAAAAAAAAGAGTACCTTTGCCATCCGGCCAACCTCCAAACAATCCTGCAGAGTGACTTTATCATCGAGAGAGGTAGAGAGAGGTCTAACGGAAAGCAGACAGGAGGATTAACTATTAAATTCATCTGCAGAGTAGATATACGTGCTGCAGGACTGACCTGCTCATGCCAGGTATGTTTCCCCAGAAGTAGCGCGCTCTGTGAGCGGGGCTGACCTTCACTGCATCGATAAGAACCGGATTGCACTAAAAACAAAGCAGAATGCTCAAGTTGAAGTTATAATGTATCACAACCATTATCGTTTCATCATAGCATTTGAATACGATCACCTCAAGAAATCTGCATATGTCATTTTTGTCATGAGCACTCATGAAAACCACGTTCTCAAACAGCCAGAAGAATGGACGGTTGTCCTCCTCCTTTGGCCTCAGCAAGGTCAGAATGCGGTAGAACTCAAAGAAGAGTCTTCCAGTGCCCTCTGCAGGAAGAAAATAAGGAAGTTCAAATGGGGTAATAAATAAATTTTCTGTTTTTGCTCTTTGAAGCTATAAAATCTCATTTAAAGCTACATACCAAAGAGTCCTTTTCTCAGTGGGTTAACCATGGACAGGTCATTGCATGGACTGCCTCCAATCAGGAGATCAAAGGGACCCCATTCAGCCAGCTTAAACATGAATAATGTTCCAGTTTTATTCACAAAATAGCCCAGATTTGACTAAAAAAACATGAGAGTGATTTTTAGAGTGAGGTTTATGAGGCTTGTTCTCACGTGTTTCCTTGTAATGGTTCGAACATCATTCACATATTCAATCTTCCCCTCGTGTTTGATCATTCCCACAGCAATCGAGTCGTCACAGATCTCAGACGCGATGTATCTTTCAATTTTGAAGCCCAAGTCTCTAAGCACCAGATATCCTGTTAAAACGTCACAAAATAAAAACTATCAGGTTTTATCAATAGAAACTAAAACAAAAAAAAAACACTGCTAATAGAGTTAAAACGCAATTATTGTCACATCTGGACAGAAGCGAGAACCAAAGGTCAGGTTACAATATGTTTATACTGACTACACTGGGAAAAAAATCTAGAAATAAGTAAAAATTTCCATTTACTGTTAAATTGAGTAGATATATGAGATAGTTTGCCAATGATATTAGTATTTTCACTCTTAAAATAAGATCATTAGATAATCTGCACTTGAAATAAGACGATGCAGTTGTTTTTTTCTTATTTTAAATGTAAATTGTCTCATTCCATTGGCAAAATGTCTCACTTTCCTCCTCAATTCAAGAAAAAATGCAGTTATTTTAATAAAAAATGACTGATGTAGATTAAACTTTTGCAGTTTATATTAATGAATGCAATAATAGAAACGTTTCACCTACCTGTTGCAATGCCATCAAAAAGTGAGAGCACCTTGAGTGGTTTGCGTTTATCAGCAGGAATAGAGGGGTACACTCTGTGAGGCTCCTGTAGGTACAAAGAAAAAGTAAAAAAATAAAATTAAATTTTATCAGGATCAACTTGTTAACATATTAGGTCCACAGAACAGCTTATTGGTGGTAAAGCAACAGAAAAAACAGGGTTTTACTCTTTCACTGTGAGATAAAAGATGAATCAGGGCAACAAAATATGATAGCATGAGATGAATTTAATTCCACATCCTTAACTATGAGCTGCAGATGACATCATGGTGGTAATAAAGAGGGGGGGGAGGATATCTAATCAGGCTTCAGGAAGTGGTGGTCAGCAGACGGAAAGGCTCTCTGTCCGTCTCCAATGCAAAGAGAGTCGCTTTAACGGAAGTCTGCGACTCATGGCGCCTCAGGAAAGGTAAAAGCATCTCCAACTTATTCATGGCTTTACTCATTTGAATTGCTGCCTTCTGGGAGGAGGTACACAGCCCTCCTAACAACAAAGTTCATTCACCAACTCAGAAACGAACCAACCTGCTCCTGCTTGCACACGATGATGCCTACATTGGAAACATTTTCACACTGGAAAAAATCGAAATCTAGATAAGTCATTTTTTCTTAAAATAAGTGAATTTGTTCTTGAATTGAGGAGGTAAAAGAGACATTTTGCCAATTGAACAAGACAATTTACACTTATAATGAGAAAACACAATTGCATTGTCTTACTTCAAGTGCATTTTATCTAAATATCTAATTTTAAGAGTAAAAATACTCATTTTCCTACTCAAATTAAGGGTAAAAACGCTTAATTTAAGAACTTTTTCCTTATTTCTAGATTGTTTTTCCAGTGCAATCTGTGATTTAATTTAATTGCAATTCAAATCAGTTAATTTATATAGCACCAATGCACAACACATGTCATCTCATGGCACTTTATAGAGACAATTCAACCAGATCATACAGTCAGATTGATTTAAAGTTTTCTAAGGAAAACCAGCTGATTGCATCGACTCATTGAGTCAAAAGCAATCCCTCACACTAAGCATGCATGTAGCGACAGTGGAGAGGAAAAAAATCTATTTTAATAGGAAGAAAATTCCAGCAGAACATAGAAATTTCTGCATAGAAAAGGCCAAACTCACCACCGCTACTGTTGTTTTATGTTATAGTTAAAATTGTTGCTGTTAGGAAATAGTTATAGCTGCCTATTTATTTTGCTGCAGCTAAAACAGTTTTTTTTAATAGTTTAACTGTGTTCAATTTGTTATAGTTATAGCAACAAATATTTTTAAACACTTACACATGCTATAGTGATAAAAGTCGGGTCGCGAGGGGTGCTGGTGCCAGCTGGTGCCTGTATTTTTGTATTTTCATCTTTCTTTTTATCTATTTTTTTTATTTTCTGTAAAGTAACCTTGAGTGTCCAGAAAGGCGCTGTTAAATAAAATGTATTATTATTATTATCTTCAGGTATTATCTCTGGACAGGTCACCAGTCCATTGCAGAGTATAATCTATTCTGTTTCTAATAATATTTTCTCATTAAGGTGGTAAGATTATCAATGGCAGGGGTCACTAATTAAAATTAGCAGAGTCTGAATAAAGAAAATCAACAACCAGTAAAGATCCATAGACATTTTTAATTATAACTTTTTTTTTTCTGCCTGTCTGCTGTGTCTAAAAGTAGCTAGCAGCAGCAGCCCTGACTGACACAGCTCATTGGCTAATTTGTAGCCTGGTCCCGGACGCTCTGGAGGACTTTACCATATTAACAAAAGAAGCGGCGCAAGTGAAGTTAGACACTGTCGTCAGACAACACACAGTCATTTCTAAATGTTTGGTCAGGTTGGGTCCAGAACGATGTAACATTTGGGCAGGTGGGTCCAGATCCGGACCTCGGTTCGCTAATCCGTGACCTCTGATCTATGGTGATCCTGACTTAACCTTCACTTGTGGTTCTGAGCTTTCCGAGGGCGTAGCTACACGACGAACCTTCCTGCTGAATCTAAGCAGCGCTAACATCTCTACCATCATGCCGCCCCCAGATTTTACTACGATTTGTATATTCAAATACATGAGAAAAGTGTTTGAATATACGAAAATATACTTTTTCTCTATCTGGAGTGTCAGTATTTTGTCCACTACAAATCAAATTAACTGGGACTAATAGATAATACTGAAACCTGATTTTGTATCAAATGTTGAACAAAATGTAAGCGATGACATTAAACGTGTGTAAACGTGGTACTTACAAACTCTATAGCACTGTTATTGGCAAATAAATCCTGAACTCTGACACTCCAATCCGGTCTCAGTCTGAGGTGTCCATCACACTGAGACGGCTTGCACATGAAGCAGCTCCAGGGATCAACCTCCTTTAGCTTCTCAAAGGTTCCTTCGGCTACCAGGATCTCCAGGCAGTCCTTACAGAAACATCTGCATGAGGAAATATAAAGATGGAAGATTAAATGGTTTGTTAGATAAAAAGGTGAAGTTAGCTGATCTGGATAAAGCAATGGAGGATGAAGAGTAGGGCTGATCGATAAAATACGTTAATTACATTTTCTGTTTTGGAAGATTGAATTTTTGGAACATCTGGACTTTTTTCCGCCAATGCATCTTATTTAAGGTGGTCTGGGTGAAACACTGATAAAAGTACTGTTGTAGTCAAGACCTTATTAAAAAAAGATTTACTTCAAAGGAAAATAAGATTTTTTCATTTTGTTTGTTT